TTTAGATTAAAAAAGAAATACAACTCTGCAGCGGCTCTATCTTAAGCATTACGCCTTCGACGACTTTCATGCGTGCGTGATTATGCAAGGATATATGGAGATCTGAGCTTTCGAAAGACCCGCTTAGCTCATTCATTTAAAATACAAAAATGGCATATACTGGGAAAAATCTAAACGGATCATTGCGATGTTCGCGCAAGTCGAGACTCACAAAGTCGGCCTATAGCCTTTGAGCTAGCGAGCTCAGCAAAGTCCAATTGCTCTCCCTGCTCGCAAAATATATACCTATGGGGAGGTTTACTACGCGGCAAATGACGAAATAAGCCCTGCCCGTTGCTGAGCGGCATTTTGAAGCTTTGCCGAATCGCTTTTTGCAATCCCAGTATCACCGCAATACGATTCAGAATATACTAACAGGGCGGACTGCATGCCCCGTAATCATGGGCACGGCACGTTTTTTTCTTTCTCCCATTAAGATCCGAGGGGACCGACGCAAAACCTCAATACAAGAAAAAATATATATAAGATACGGTAGGAGCTGGAAGTTTTCAAAGGGTTCAGTCTCGTGCTGGAACGGTGTTCCGCGAATCAAATTTTATTTAGCAAGCCTCGTTGTTGTGTTAGTTGGTTCATGGTGCGGAGTAAATTTGTATGCGCAAACACGAAGGAGTAGAGAAGGACAAGCGTGTGTTCTTGTCCACTGCTTCGTGTTTGTCCTCTGTGTTTGCTCATACAAGTTTACTCGGTCAAATTTTATTAAAGCTTCCCTCGGTGTGCATTCTCTTGCTTAGGATTTTGGTATCATAGTTGATTTCAGCTTCCTAGTGCTGCATTTATGTTTTGTTTTGAATAAGATAGGGTAGATGTAGGCTCGAGGTCTTGACGGTGAGTCGGGATTTGTGAATTTGCCGTGAGAAGCTTTGGAAGGTTATCTTAATATTTTTAATTAACGCCACCGTCTTTCTCTTCGTTTCCTATTTTTATCCCGCTCAATGCGTCCATTTGCTTACATTAAAGGATTTTTCGCGGTGCGTTCTGACAAATATATAGTCTCTACTATTGACGTGTTGTAACTTGCGTTGACTTAGTCTAAAACCAAAAACAAAACAAAAAAACGCTAACTTTTTTTCTTTTTTGCATATGGGCGCGTATAATAACGATTTATTTTCTTGATTGCAGAAGAATCGACGCATAATTTGATTTTCTGTGTACCAGTGTACTTTTGCTGATATGACCTGCTTGTGGGAAAGCAATGTTAATAAAATACATTAGTAAAATAAAACCAGGATCGTCACTGACAAAGCAAGCATATATTTAAAACGTTGCTCAGGGCTTCGAGAAAGACGCAAGGGCATCCCTTTTGGCACGAACATTAAAGGGGTCATGAAACGATATTGGATTGGAATGTTCATGGCATTGCAGGGATGTACTGGTCCTAGTCTGGCCCCAAGTATACTCGCACGGACCGCCACTGATTCAGAAGCTTCTTTGTCGCGGTGAAATTGCGAGGATAAAAGGAGACTATTTCTTTCAGGCTTGCCTTCGCAAAGCTTGATGACGTAATTACGGGATCGAAACCACCCACCTGGCGACAGTCGAGTGCGGCTCATGAATTGAACACGAGAAATGCGTGAGCGCTTGACTTCGGCTCGTAACAATCAATCAGACACGGAAGTAATCCGTTACAAGTAACATCCCGTTACTTGTAATCCGTTAGATTTTGTTTCCGTAATTTAGTAATTGAACCATTGCTTTTTTTAAAAATGTAATTTCTGAAGTAATTCCCTTACTTTCTGAGTAGCGAATCACTCACAATTACTCGTTACATTTCTACCATCCGGCGAAAAAAAAAAAGATATGGTGGAAGAAGGGCGATGCAATTATAAACGCGCTTCTAACACGGTCACACGAGATGCGGGTTCGCGGCGAAGGGAGTGCTAGCCAGGGACAGAAAAGGAATTCTCGGAAAATGCGACAGTGCAGTGTTCCTAGCAATAAAAGTGTGTGCGTGTGTGTGTGTGTGTGTGGGGGGGGGGGGGGGGGGGGCACTAGCCTCAGTGCACCCTCCCGTGGCTCGGGACACAGAAACCGTGCTTTGACACAAAGACGCAGTTCGGTGTTTTATTGCCCATGTGCTACCGCTTCGGGACAACCCAACGAGGTGGTCCTGACCTTCGCTGCCTGTTTCAAGAGCAGAACGGACGTATTCCATGAACCGTTAACCAAGCCGGGGGACCAAAACAGGTGTGTGTATGTGTGTGAGAGCGCGTGTGGTTCCGTTGGATGGAGGAAGGGACAGACTCAAAGAAGCTTCTTCGGGCATATGCCGTGACCAGCCATGACACCGACTCGCCAAAGTGCCACCAATGAAATATATATATATATATATATATATATATATATATATATATATATATATATATATTTGGATGAAACACGGAGGATGTGACGAGAGCGGACCAAATGCGGCAGTCCCAACCGAGAAGGACGTTCTGAGAATAGTCATTTTGAGGAGGTCGAAACGGAGAACAGACCCAAATGATGACCACCCCCTCCCCTGTCTGCATTTTGCTTTTGTTGTTGATTGTTTATTGATGTTTCCGCCTAAGCGCGCCCACCCCGCAAACATACAAAGAACAGCGTGGAGCCTGGCCCCTGTTCACGCCTGAACGTTTTAAAAGCTAAATAGTGCAGGCCAACCAGCTATATGCTTTGTGCCATGTGACTTCCCGCTAGCGGGTTCGTGAAGCAGAAGATGCGTCGCCGATGTGACACCGGCAGCGTATTGTAACAGCAAAATTGTATTGTAAACTCTGCTGTCAGTTTAAACGGAGATCGGCCGAAAACTCTCGTCACTTTTGACGGCAGGCAATGAACAGGCAGGGGAGCGCTGCCGAAACGGCTTCAGACTTCCAAGCCGCATTCTTAAAATTGAGAATGTTGGAGCACGGCCGCTGGATCTTCGAAGATCCAGTGGGGAGGAAGTTCCAGTTGGGGACGGTGGAGGTTCTCGTTTGCGGACTGTGCATGCGGGAAGTTAGGCCGAAATTTTGGGGAAACGCAAAGCACTGAATAAGCAGTGGCTGACATGGACACTCGAGTCGAGACATGAGAGAACAGCTGTAAACGTGTGAGAGACGTGGGTGCGTGCTGATTACTCACGATGATATTTTTTGATAATTAATTAACGGCATACTCAATTCAGCTTTGTGCATTAATATTTAAATTTGGTGAACAAGTCAAAAGAAGTAATTCGGTCGGATAGCAATCTCAATCGAACAACAGTCTTCGAAACGTATATCCAAAAACAATTCGAGCCTTTTGTTCTCACTACTAAACCGTTTAAATTAAAAAAAAAAGCCCTTTAACAACAAGAAGCAGTCAGTGCGAGCATGTGGAAGCAGTGTTTTTCAGTATGCTGATGCTGAACTAGGATTATTCGGAGTGGTGTATGTGGCCTCCATCAGCGTTCGTAACGGTAATGCCCAAATGTATTCGGATATGTTCATGTGACGCAACACTGTCTCGGTCGATCAGCAGAGGACCCATTTACCTCAAACATCAGTCTAAGTCACTATTTGTTTTATAGATTCGATCACTTATAGTTCTTAACCTAAATATATGTGAAAAGTTTATTTGAGTGGATTTGAACCCGGTTTTATTTAAGATGAGATAATAAATCCCGCCCCAAAATGAATGTCTTTTTGTGAGTTTCCTTGGAGTAACACAAAAGTAATCAATTAAAGTAACGAAGTAATTAATCGATTACCTTTACGGCGAGCAGTTCGTAACAGCAATCAGTTACATATTAAGTCAAGTAATTGTAATTGTAAATAATTACTGTTTTCGGGTCACAAGCCTGCGATCAATGCCTCGGCGGACTTTCGGGTAGCGGCTTGTATCCAACCACTGTGTTGCTGAGAATAGCCGAACTCTAACAATGCCTGGAGCTCAGCACGCGTTTCCTACTTTGCCAACCCCATCGTGGGGCCATGATTAACATTGGCAGCATAGATAGGCAAACGAGCCTAGGAAGCCTGAACGGAACGTTATCCGTTTCGTTTACACGTCAACAAACTCCGTCGATGTGTCAATAAGCCCGCGTGCTCCTGACCTGCCTTCCCTAACTGGAGCAGATGGGCTCAGACATCTACGCAACGAGGCAAGCGCGATCTACGACTGCTTGACCGTAGGCCGAAGTGAGCTGCATTTGTGACGACAACTTCGCGTCGAGCAACGCTGGAAACCTTCCGCATTTCGTAACAGCATTTAAACGGCTCTGGTAGGCTTACCTTAAACCATACAATACCCCACAAGCATTGCGTAGGCGAGAAAAGGACCAGAAGCCAGAAAAGCCTTAATGACATTTCTCTAAAGTCAGTGAGCTCTATTTCGCCTCGGTAAATGCGCCTCGAGGCTTTACTTGGAAAGCCCGTGAAGTTTACAATACCCGGGGATATCCGCTCCTTATGCGTTAGGTTAGAGGAATGGCGCCCACACTCCGCCGCCGAGAAAATCGCTGCGATCCGGGGAGAGTGTCGGGGGAACGACGCATTGCTGGAATTAATGTGTGTGTGTGTGTGGGGGGGGGGGGGGGGGGGCGAAGAAATGCATTTTTGGTTGGGGGGCTGAGCACGGAAAACGCCATGTTCCGCGTCCCACTGCAGATGGCGTGTTCATCTTTTAACGAAACCCGGGGCTCGGCATTCCCCAGGGTATTTGCGTTGATCAGAGTGACTGTCTCTCCGCGTGCTGAGGACGAAAGTGGACAGCCGGGCCTTTTCGTCGGCACTCGTATTGTTAGGTAAAGAAACGAACACTGCTCACCGATACAACAAAATTAGCTATCATTCAACCCGCGCTATCTTCAGCTGCACCGCATGCGTATAAATATCTGGCCGCCAGTTGGTGACACTTAGGAGAACCGGTTGCTAACAAAGTGCGGGTGGAAGATGGGGTTAGTGACGTTCATCGCATGTTCGACTGGTGCGACTAGAATACTACTCCAGACTTCGGACGGAATACTTCGAGGACTTCGTCGGTCTTATAGTGAAGCCGAAAAGAACCCTACTCTTCGCTCTAGCAATCCGCTTTCTTGCACGACTGAAACGAGGGCGTGCGTGCAAGGCGCTTCGCCACACCCACAGGCCGCAACACGATAGTCGTTCCTACAATTACCGTGGAAGATGCACACGTGTGGCAACTACTCGGATAATAGAAGAACCCGGTGTACCACACGAACCTGTACGAGTAAAACGCACAGTCGCGAACTACACGAGGCCTCTTTACGTTACGCAAATCGTAATATGCTTTCGAAGGGTATAGAATATGTGCGATTTCAAAGCCGTAAATTCTCTGGTGCGGCATTTTTTTTTTTTTTCAAGATCTCTTTAAACGATTGTCGCGCATGAGTGAATTTCAATCATATTCCCAACCCGTTTCTTTTTTTTTTTCTTTTTGACGTGTGTTGCAGTTTTTTTTTTTTTTTTTATTGTTAGGTTTGTGGATGATCCCGGGTGGCTGGTAGCGTTCGGCGTCGGCCTCGCGAGGACTCTCTAGGGTCACCGGCACTTCAAAAAACGCACAGGGCATGGCGAGCCCCAAGCAGCTTATTATCACACTTCAGCCAATCAAATTGCGGCATTAGCCATAATAAACTGCTCGGAATTCGCCACGCCCTTCATTTATTAAGCTGTTCGTAACAATAGTAAACTGAGAAAAAAAATATTCGCCTTTTTAAGGCCTGTTCACATATACAGCGGAGCGCTAAGTTAGCGCTACGTGAGCGCTCCAAGGAGCGCTCATGTGGCGCTTTCTAGCGCGTGACTTCAATCTAATATAGCGCGTGGTTAGCGCTTTAGTAGCGCCTTGTTGGCGCTCGAGTGGTGCCTTGATAGCGCTTCAGTAGCGCCGTGTTAGCGCTTCAGTAGCACTTCTTGTACCGCGGTGCTGCCGATTAGCGCGTGCACCGCGGTTCCGGTTCCTGTGGTTGGGTGTGCATCAGCAGCACCATGGCGGACATGTAGGATGCTGAAATAGAAATGCAACAAATTCTCTTACATACGCGATTAGTGCATATGTGTGTGGACGGCTTAACGCCCAAAAGAGCCTTCTGGGTGCGCGAAATCTTTCGCCACCGAGATACCGACGGGTACCCGGCGAACCTAGTTCCTAGGCTGAGGGACTGAGACACAGAGCTCTTTCGAAGGCGATTATTTTTAACTGCGTGTTTTTAAAACCAGGGTCACACATATCGAATAGAAAGCGATGAGATCGTACCCAATCAATTAGTCGCTCAGAGTCCATGACTCTGGAGCGCCTGCCGGACCCTTTGCTTGGAGAGCGGATCATTTACTTCCTCTTCCTTCAATGCCAAATGAAAAACAGCAACGAAGGAATCGCCGTGCACGCGCTATTCAGCAGCAGCAAGCACGGCACAAGGAGCGCGAGAGCGCTAACAAAGCGCTTCTGAAGCGCTAACAGAGCGCTAATAAAGGGGTATTCACACGAGGGAGAAATCCCGGGGATTTCTCCCCGGCACGCGCATCCCATGACGAAAACGTCAGGCTTTGCGATGTGCAAAAGCCTCGGGTTTTCATCAGGTAATGCGCGCGTCCCGGTGAGAAACCCCCGGGATTTCTTCCTCGTGTGAATACCCCTTAAAGCGCTTCTGAAGCGCTAACAGAGCGCTGCTGAAGCGCTAACCGAGCACTACATCACGCGCTAGGAAGCGCCACATGAGCGCTGCTCACGTAGCGCTAACTTAGCGTTCCGCTGTATCTGTGAACCGGCCTTTAAGGAGAGCCAGTGGAGCGCCCCGAGCCAAAACAGCGAGTCAGCTTTTCTTCTTATTACATTCCCCCCCTTCCCTCAAATGTTCGGCGCCTACCTCGTGTAACTTGGTTGAGCAAGTGCATGCATTCGAGCTGTTTCGCAAGATAAGCCAGATTTCTCCGTTGGGGTGTGGCGCGCGAAGCACCCGATCGGAGGGTAAACGGGGTTATCTCACAGAACCAACCGCGCGCACTCATCGCAGATACGGAGGTGAGTTGAAAAAAAAAATTACTCTGAAGGGCTATTAGTAAGAAGTATTAGTAATAAAGGTAACTAGTACCTTTCGTCCTCACTTACTCAAGTAGCAAACAAGAAGGTTAACTCGTTAGCGAATGTAAAAAGTAACACGCCACTGCACCTCTGTATAGTTGCGCCTTACTTTTCTCGCTTCGTTTTTAAGTTGACGTCACTCGAAGCTTTAAAGTCCCCATTAGTTTTGGACAGAAAAAGCGATCGTGCAGATTCAAGTAATGTTGGCCTTGCCAATTTTCCGCCTTGTCCATCTGTAACTTTTGAATCGTGTCGTAACGGAGCAAAGAAGGGTTAATAATAATAGGCAATTTTAGCATAGCGTTAGCGCGGGCTACAGCATTCGATACGGCATTGCTACGGGAAGCTAGCGCTGCCCCTTCGAAGCATGCTCTCGAGCGCGCGTCACGAGCCGTACAACGCGCCCTCGGTAGCCAGCGGTAACGTTCTGCTGAAACAACCTATTATTCGTGTTGTGCACGTTTCTCAGCAAAAGTGACTGAATACCGTCGCTCGTTGCTCGCTTTATAAACAAAGAAAAATACGCGATTAGGTTTTGTTTGCGAAAGGAAACTTAGTCATTGAACTGTTATTGACAAACGGGACAACGTAACTATTGCGCTTTGAGCACAGTTTCAAGAAATGCGCGACGACTCTACTAACCAGTTTTGTCAAATCATCGTCGTCTCCTGGGGTCGCACTAATATCTGCACAACTTTCACTACGTTGCTCGTACAAGGTTATCTCCGAAAATAAATAAACCGTGGGTAATTTATCTTGAGTTCCCGAAAGAATTTGAGACCATACGCGATTAGCATGATCGAAACTGATTGTTGAGCGATATGCCAAGAGCAGTGAAGTTTAATTAGCCCGGCAAAACCAGCAAACACTCTGTCAAAACTGACAGGTTGAGGCAAAACCAAAATCTTTTGGCCCAGCAATTTTTTTTTTTTTTTTCAGAATTAGTACAAGATATAACTTTTGCTGATGATTTCAGATATAAACTCGGTATACGCGCTGATGATCTAAGCTAACCGTCTCCAACTTGAGACAACAATTGAAAAAATCGAAAACACGCATATCAGCATGTTCCGGAGAAGGATCCGTCCAGTTAGCCATAAGGAGGCCGTGGTCCCCACGAAGAGGAAGCAAGTTCATTCTCCGGGTTCATTGAAAATTCAAATTAAGGCAAAATGTAAAGAATCGGCCTACTTGGACTCTGGAGCTGCTGTTGCTGGCAGACTTCTTAGAGTCTGTCCCGTTGGCCTTGGCAGAAAAGTTGGACTGAAAGAGCACCCTGGCCATGAGTCCGTAGAGGACGCAGGAGAGCAGCAGCGGCACGACGTAGAAGAGGATGATGTCGGCGAAGAAGTAGCTTCGGTAGTGGTGGCGTGACAGGGCGAAGGTGCATGTCTCTATGTTCTCGTGTCCCTTGTAGTAGACCGCCTCGGTGGTGGTGAGCGCCAGCCACGGGGAGCAGTAGGAGCAGGCGAACAGCCAGACGCCCAGGATGATCTTCTTGGCCCGCTTGACGGTGCACACGGTCTGAGCCTTCATGGGTAAACAGATGGCGATGTATCGCTCCACCGTAAACGCCGTGATGGATAGGGACGAGGCGTTGATGCCTAGGTACTGAAGAAAGATGAAGAGGGCGCAGCCCGCCCGTCCCCAGATCCACTCGTCACCCAGCACGTAGTACGAAATAATCTCGTTGGGTACCGAGGCCACCAGGACCATGAAGTCAGCCACGGACAGGCTGACCAGGTAGCAATTGGTCGGCGTGTGCATGCTGCGTGTGCGCATGACCACGATGACGACCATGATGTTGCCAAGGACACCGACCCCGAAGATGATGCCTTGGAAAATGGTGCCGATGATGCGGTAGTTGACCGAGTAATAGGTGGGGTCCTGGTAGGTCCTGTTGAAAGCGACGGTCGGCATGCTTTCGTTGCCGCCCGCTTCCCACGAAGGGACTGCGGTGCTCACCTCCATCATGGCTATGGTCGGGAGAAGGGTGGGAATGACCAGAGCTGCAGTCGCCATCGAATTAAGGATAGTAACGTTTTGTTCCTACCCTAGACGCGGAGGTTTCTACTAGCGGGGACTAGTTGGACATATGTGGCAATCGGTACATTGGGCACGGTACCCCGGAACGGGACGATCCATTTGTACGTGACACGCCGATTGGCGAAAGTCCGGGAAGCAAGTTGCGCGAAGTTCGGCTGCAGAGTCCGGCGCTCGGAACCCGAGTGAGCGGGGGCGTTGGGGGCCGTTCTTTGCCCTCTTTCTCTCCCGACGTGGGCCCGCCAGAGAGCGTCGCGACCTGTTGCTATGGCAACGGCAGCGGCAGCGATGTGGCGCCTTCTGTGGACCGCCTCTCGCTTTTCGTCCCGCTCGTCTCCGAACACGGGGTTGGCGCCCACGCGTAGTCCGTGTACTGGGCTGTTTTGGTATGGCAGGCTTCCTAGGTTTGGCAGGATTGTTTGTGAAGCGCGGCTGCCTTTACAACGAAGGCGAGACGTGGGGAGCAAAACGAGAGTGAGAACCGAACGGGCGGACCGCTTTATTGAGGGCGGCCCCGTTTAAACGTTGTGTTGAGAGCGCCGTGGAAAGCAAGCCGAAGACGGCCGACGTAAAATGGAATGTTCAGCCGGATAAGGGACAAATGTCCATGGTTTTGTCCTCCGTTTCTACCAATGATTTTAGAGATGAAACTCGGAAAAACACTGGGACACGTAACAAACGTTTTATAACAATCGATATTTAATATGTGGAAATGGCGTTTTATTTGCGGCGGCTAAACATTTATGTTGGGTTTTCTGTTGTTGTGTAAAGTGAGCAACATAATTACTCTCGTTCGATCTCAATTTGCACTGGTTTGTAAAAGGCAAAATTATGATGACAAGACCTAGAAATTTCAACTTCACCACTCCGCTAGATTTTATGTTAGGAATAAAAAAAAAATATAAAACTAATGAATGAATTGAAAACAGCGCGAAAAGACGGGGACCCGACAAAGAAATGACACGGACGCAGCGCTGACTTACAACTTGGCAGAAGTCGGTTGGCTTGTTTCTGCAAAAAAGTTTGAAGCTGTTTCAGATTCACGATCCTTTTTCTTGTGAAGAGTTCTGATAATGTCATTTCTTTTCTTAAATACAACCAGCGCACTAGATTTATGGCCTGCTCGTTCGATATTAAGGATTTGTCTTACTCCTTGCCACATAATGGACTCCTTACCTGCATTCGTGACTGCATCGATGTGTTTGGTGCAGTTGCCTTTCGAAATGCTGCGGGACGTTTAGTTGAAGGCTTCATAGAGCTCCTTGATATGTATCTGAGGTCGACCTTTTTCGACTTGGTAGGGTAACATCTATTTGCAACGTCTAGGGGTTCTTGCATTTCCCCCGTGCTTAGCGACTTGTTTTTAGCGAGCCTTGATCGCAATATCTTTGAACGCTTGGGGAAACCAAAGTTGCAAAGGTCTTCCGGTATGTAGATGATTTTCTGGTTTTGTTAGATGCCGATGCCTTATGCTTTCTTTCGTCAATGACTCAAGTTTTAGGTATTTTTAGGGATTGCTTTTCGCCACTTGTTCTGACTCATGAGGTGCCTGAGGCAGGATGCATCCGATTTTTGGATTTGAATTTAACTATTTGTCCAGGTCATGTTTGTTGGAGCTATGCACCCCGTGCTGGGAAGCCACTGTTGCCATTCGAGTCCGCTCGCTCAAAAATTGTCAAGCGGGCGATTGCGAGGACTTGCTATACACATGCGCTGCGTAGGTCTTGTTATGATAAAATTAAACATAGCTTTGACAGGCAAACTGAACGCCTCGCAGATGCTGGATTTCCCTCCCACGTGTTAACAACGGTCGCTGAGTCTTTGCTGAAAGATATCAAAAGCAGGCTAATGACACGTTAAGAAGAGGCCAACAACAGAAAGGGAAGGGAAAGAAGAAAGTTTGTAGTCATTCCCTAGATACACGGCTTGGCCCACAACCTAAAACGCATTGCAGGCAGGTGTGACGTCGACGTTTTATTCTCTGCTCCGGCCAAGTTGTCCAGGTTATACAGAGCTGTTAACCCTTCTTCGAGGGCGGCCACGGCTTGCAGTACGAGGCATCGAGATCGCTTCGTCTCGTGTTGTGAGGGGGTGGTTTATTCTCTCCCTCTGACGTGTGGCAAGCGCTACGTTGGCCACATTGGCCCGCTGTCTCAATGACAGGTTAAGAGAGCACGCTTATTGTGTCTCCACAACCGTGTCTGGTCATTTGGGCATTCATTGCCGCGAATGTGGTTGCCTACCCGACTTCTAACGGTGTGACGTTGTTAAGCGTCATTCGGACCAGCTTACTCGGGAAATTCTGGAGGCTGTTGAGATAGCGAGGTTGGGTGCAGCATGTGTAAGCAGTCCTTCTGTGTCCCTGTCAGGCAAAGAGATGAATTTTAGAGACGAAACTCCTTAGGGTCTAGCCTTGTCCGTCCGTCCGTCCGTCCGTCCGGACGGCGTCCGTGCTCACATAAAAATAAAAAAAATGTTTGCGCAGTCGACAGGATTCGAACCTGTGCGGGGAGACCCCAATGGATTTCTAGCCCACCGCCTTAACCACTCGGCCACGACTGCTGGACGAGTAGGGGGCTCTGAGATATGGTAGTAACTCAAGAGCTGGGGATGTCATGGATGAAACGTTGCATGTAGCCGCTCAACGTCTATACAGGAGAGGGCGCTGCGGTCGAATGCGTATATAATCGCGTTAAAGTTTGCATGCTTTGGCTCAACGTTTATAGACGAGAGGGCGCTGCGGTCAAATGCTCAAATGCGTATATAACCACGTTCCATACCACACATTCTGTTTCTGACGTGGACCGTTGACTTAAGCGGTGGAGATGCGTCCCCACGGCTTCTAGCGGATCCAAGCAGATCCGCTAGAAGAACCACTGGCTCTGCATTTCACCGACCATAAAGCAGTAATAATAAAGTGGAAACGCAACCCCGAACTCAGCACTACCTATGAGCAATAAAAAAAATCAGCACCATCAGCACTACCTATGAACAATAAAGTCAGTATCATCAGCACCACCAGAGCTTCGCCCCAATCAACATCATTCGCCATGTGGAGACGCGGTCACTTTTCTAATTTCCTGACTTGACTCGTTTTTTAGCACGTACTCTCTACGGCTGTGTCATGGCGCATTTTTATTATTTTTTAAATTTTTTATTGGTGATACATCACGTGGGCTGAATTCTTTCTTCACTTTTGTTCATGACAACGCAAGTATATGTCGCGATTTTGCGTTCAATAAATTCAGTTGTAAGTCAGCGCGTGTCGCTCCTTTGTCTGGTCCTCGTTTTTTCACGCTGTTTTTAATTTCGAAGTATGTACCAACTCGCACAAGCCTCAACTTTAGTAATGAATAAAAATGATTTTGTAGGGTGCTGTTTGTATCAGTATGTCATTGTTTAATCGCAATTGATTTAGTAGTTCAAACATTTATTGCTATATATATATATGCGTGAAAAGGGGTTGCGCCGGGCCAGGTAGACGTAGATGGTGGAAAAGAAAATGATCCTCGGAAACGGCTAATAAAATATTATAATAAATCCAACATATCGAGTGGGGACCGCTCTTCGTCAGGGTGATTACTTATTCTTTGTTTCTCTAGGATTGATCCCGTCGTCTTCCGTAGTCTTGCTGCCATTGCAGAAAGTGTCCTTGGCGCGTTTTCACTTCCATCACCAAAACACTAAGAACAAAATAATCATAAATGAAAAATAAAAATTATAAAAAATAATATAAATGATTCGAGGGTTTATGCTGCTTGTTTTAGCCAAGTAGGTATGTCCGGACTTGCATTAATCCCGCGGGTAAGTGATTTGAATTTGTGAATAAAGTACGGCTCTCTTAGTTCTCTTTCGCGATCTGAACTGAATCCAGATTGAAGAAGCATGACTGTTATTGCATGAAAATTGTGATTCAGTAGGTTCATGTGTTTGGAAAGTGGGAGGTGTGAGAGGGAGTGGACGTGTGATTTGTATTTGTTAAATCGTAGTCTGAAAGGGGTTCCGGTTCGGCCTATGTTGTCCATATCGCACAGGTTGCATCGTAACACGTAAATGACGCTTGTCATATCGCAGTTTAGAGTTGCAGTAATTTTGAAAGAGAAATCTGATTTGGCGCTCTTAATTTGGTTGAAGCCTATCATGTGGTCGCAAACCTGGCATCGCGACTTTCCGCAAGGCTGGCATCCAAAAGATTGTGAAGATGAGCTTTTGGACTGTACCAAGATGTCCTTGAGGTTCCTGCCTCATCGGTAAACTACTCGTGGTGGCTCTGGAAACAATGTGTTAAGTTTGTCGTTCTGCTGTAGATCCTGAAGTGTTTTTTTAGAATAATATTGAAATTTGGGAGGCCGAAAGCTGTGCCGTCTGTTTCGTCCTCTTGTGTGTTTCTTTCGTTTTAAGTCAATGGCCGAATAAGTAACTACAATGTTGGTTTGCTGATTTTTAGGTACACTGGATCGAGTCTGATTAATAAGTTGTGATCCATCAAGTGCTCGGGCTTTGTCGATGGCCTTGTCAACAATTCAAAGTAGATATTTTTGTTCAGTGAGCACTGTTTTTAGACTTTCTTGCTTTGCGATCAAGATCAGTTAAGTTGGAACAAATTCATCTGAACCTTTGAGCTTGGGAGAACAGAATGCTGGTTTTACAATGCTTAGGGTGTCAACTGTGAAAATAAAGATACTTTTGGCGGTCTGTGGGCTTTCTGTATAGATTTGTTGAGAGGCTATTTCTATGAATTTCCATTGTTACGTCTAAAAACTCTATGTTAGTTTTAGAGTAGGAGTGCGAGAATTTTATATTGGGATGAATGGCGTTAAAATCACTAATGTATTTTAAATGTCTTCCTCTCTGTGTGGCCAAACTATAAAGATATCGTCGATGTATCGTTTATGACACAGTGACTGTAATTCATTGTTAGAGAGAAAGCGGTACTCTAGATCGGGGGGGGGGGGGGGGGCATGCTATAATTGGCCTAG